TAAAAAAATAGTTCTAACAATAATGTAATGACAACAGCAAACAACAATGACTAAAAACAGGACAATCCACCTTCTTGTTTCCCCCATGGTCTTTATCTGCATGAATTATTTATTATTTACATAATTTTGCTGTTGGGAGAAAAAAATCTGTATATACTTTATGGAAGGCAATTTGGCAACATTAATCAAAGGTCTTAAAGCCAGACATCCTTTGATATAGCAACTCCATATTCAGAAATTTCAGGTAAGAGAAGAATTAAGAGCACAGGTATAGATTTAACTAGAAAAAAGTGTTTATAATAACAAAAGACTAAAAACTTAACCTAAAGTCCAGCATGAGAATGTTGATCAAATAAAATAATAAATCCTTATGATGGAATGGCATGCAGTCATAAAAAATAATGTACATTAATTGACAGAAAAGATATTTATATTGTATTATTGAAGCAAAAAGAACAGTTACAAAATAAATATACAACAGAATTCTAGAGGGAAAAAAATTCTAAAATGTTAGAAATGTTTTTCTCTGCAAATTGGAATTTAGGGATGATATTTAATTCCTACATTTCTACATGTATAAATCTGATTCATAACCATGAACATCTGTTAATTGTGTTATAAAGTAGTACAAATATTCAAATAAGTCTACTTATGACCATGGCTCAGCTGTGATTACATGGTTAGCCTTTGTCATTTATGTGTCATCTCTCTTAATGGAGGAAGTCTTTCATTGGAGGCTTTACAGGCTAAAAGCCTTTCCTTGTCTCTTTTACGAAAGAAGGTAGGACAAGGGGCCCCTGGCAGTGCCTCACCACATGTGAGTAACCTGCAGTCCCTTGTGTCCCGAGGTCTCCAGGCCCCACCATCTCCTTTGCTTTGTGATATGCTGACTCATTGGGAACAGTAATCCTGGTGTATCTGTGAGGTTTGGTGTTAACACCCATCTACTCTCCAAGGTCCTCAAATACTTCTGAAGAAGGGCCTACCCAGCATTCCACACCTCAGTACTGGAACCAACTTCTGTCCATTTTAATTCGGGGGTTGACTCTCTGCATCCAGCAGGAATTACAGATGTTGTTGGCATTCTGTGACATGTCACACCAGGGAAGCGATATGGACCATAGTGACCCTTTCCGTCTGGTTTCAGGAAAACTAGAATTCCATAATCAATAGGCAACAAGAGAAACGCTCTGGCAGAAAGCTTCCCTTTCCTGTTCCACCTTCCAGAGCATTTAGTTTCTTCACATCGGCTCTTTGAAACAATCAATGCTCTCCCAGGAGAATCATCTAAATGTATTTAGCTAAGACCTAAATTTTTTGCGCTGTTTTAAAAAGGCGATAATCAATCTTGTTTTAAAATAGATTTCAGTGTCACTTGTATGTCTGTTTACCTAAGAATCGCTAATTAGATGTAAAGCTCCAGCCAGGGTAGAAAGGAAGTAAAGCAAGGCTGAGACGAAGGTTTCTGGAGGGAAAGGACTGCTGGGGGACTGTTCCGGCAAGATTCTAGTTCTGGTCAGGTGACACACTTTGCCATGGCTCATAGGATACTTAGGTGACAACAACAACAATCCAGAGACTTTAGGTTTTATTAAACTGATACTGCTGATGGGGTGGGAGTGTGAAACTGAGTGTTCTAGCTCATGTGTCAAAAGTAGCTCCCTCCCAGCTCACAGAGCTGGTCTAAAGGCCTGTCCACCGAGCAACACCAAACGCTGCGCCAGGGAGGGCCCCCTCCTTTCTCTTTCCAATGATCACTAGCCTCTGGCCAAGAAGCGCAGAACAAGCACTCAATAATTTCCCTTTCAGTAGAAATATAGCACCTGCTGGAAGAGAACAGCAGAACTTCTATTCATTCTCGAAAACAGGTTTTCAAAAACTATCTCATAGCATCCTTCTGGATTTAGAAAGATGTCTTAGTTCTCTGAAGCAGTGGCACAAAATATAAATTTGAGACACTAGACTTTGCATGCAATTGTCCCCCCTTATCCATGGGGGACACGTCCCAAGACCCCCAGTGGATGCCTGAAACCGCAGACATTACCAAACCCTGTATAGACTGTTTTTCCCTGTACACACGCACTTATGGTAAAGTTTGATTTATAATTTAGGCGCAGCAAGAGATGAACAACAATAGCTAGCAATAAAATAAGATAATTATAACCATGTACTGTGATACAAGTTATGTTAATGTAGCATTAGTAAGTAAAATCCGGGTCACTGAAACACAAGCACTGCGATACCCCCACGTGGATCTGATCACCGAGATGCTGCTAAGCGACTAACGGGAGGGGAGTGTGGACAGTGTGGAGACGCAGGATGAAGGGGTGACCCACACCCTGGGTAGGCCGGAGTGGGAAGGTGCGAGATTTCCTCATGCTACTCAGAATGGCGAGAAATGCCAAGCTTATGAATTGTTTATTTATGGAACTTTCCATTTAATATTTTCAGACCACAGCTGACTGTGGGTCACTGAAACTGAGGAAAGTGAAACCACGGACAAAGGAGACTACTGTGATCACAGTTCCCAGGTTACTGTCCCATTCTATTGAGCAAATATCACACATGCTTTCCATATTTCCTCATAACTTTACATTGTTGAGGATAGAAATTTTATAAAACAGCTGTTAACAACAAGGCAAGAATGACCAATGATTTTCCCTACATGATAACTCATTATTCAACTCACTTTTCCTTGTAAGAGGCTTGATCTCTTTTAAGATTGCAAACTCAACTTATTTTGACTCCCACTCTTCACTAAGTCTAAAGATTTAGGTGACAACATCCAGAATTAGTTCTAGCCTTTTTGCAAAAGATGTCTTTATTTGTAAAATGATGTCTTTTCACTTGAAAGATGAAATAAGTAAAGCAACTATGATTACTGTGAAGCAATATGCAACAAAACATCATATGACTGACGTCATATGAATGATAACTAACTCAAGGCAGGCTTTCCCCTTTCTTCAAAACTATTTTAGTATTCGATATAAACAATATCAGAAGTTACCAGCTCATGTTTTCTTCAGGGAACCAAGTTACTGAGTTCAAATAAGCACTTTGCTGTTGCCCTGTAGCTTTCTGCAGGTCTAGTTGTTTTAAGTATAAAAACTCTAAAAATAATAACATATATTGGTGACTGTGGGTCCAGTACTATGCTGGAGGTGAAACATACAGTTATACTCACTCCTTACACCAATTATCTGAGTTAGATATTATTCTTCAGAGGGTTTAAAATTGCACCTAAAGCTTACAGTGAGTGATTTACAAGTGCTGAGATTTGGATCCAGGTCTGAGTGACTGCACAGCAACCTTCCTCAGCAGAGGCACTGTTGACAGTGAGGCTGGATAATTGTTTTGGGGAGGTTACTTGGGCACTGTAGGATGTCTAGCAGCCTCTCTGGCCTCTATCCACTAGATACCAGTAGTACCCTCTAGGTGTGACAGCCCAAAATGTTTCCAGACATTGCCAGATGTCCTGGAAGGGGAGTGAAATTGTCCCCAAATGAGAACCATTGCTCCAAGAATTATAAATTTAACTCCAGATTGCCCTTCCTCTGACCTACTACACAAATTTCCTTCTCTAAGGTGGATTATTAAAGTGTTCCTCTTCTGTTTTCTAATTTTTTATTTGAAAATGTTAAATTACAATAATAATGTGCACATTGTGCAGATTAAATTATATAGCAACAATATATAATAAATCTACAATAGAAACAGGTGGTCCTTTCTTGTCCTCTCACCTATGTTCCCCTTTCTTGTCCATTTCCAGTTGGAAAACATGAGATAGCCATGGGAAATTGCTTTAATTTCCTGTGTCTTTCCTCCTCAATTAGAATACATATTTCCTGTTGGCTGATTTGGAGACTTCCTATCTCTTCGAGGTGTGAGAAGTTTACTGGAAAGAGGACACTGAATGACAAATCTCCACATTTGCAGATGCTAAGTGGGGACCTAGAAAAAGGGACTCTAACTCTGTCAGGCCTGACCCACTGACCTCAGGCGCCATGAGTCCAGTTGTTCAGCTTAGCCTTTCGGTGGGCAATTAAGGTGAATATGCGTTAGAACTGACCCCACTCTTGCTTTGGGGACATATCAAGGGCCTGACTTCATTGGCAGCCAGAGTTATAGTGAGTTGCCTTTAGAAGCTGTTCCATTCCCACTTGGGAGGTGGCACCCCAGGCAAGTCTGTGAGGCAGGAGGCTATGGCCGCCTACAGATGGAAGTGTGCCTGTCTGGCTTACTAAGAGCTAACTCTGCGACTCCATCACACTCCCACTGCCACTGTGGCGGAGTCCCAGTAAGAGAAGATCTCTGAGGAAAATGATGCTCCCATTTTCAAAGGCACACATCAAAATTCTCAAACAGGGTGCATGAGGAAATGTATCTTCCCTCTAAGCTAGGGGGCATTCTGGGGGTAGAAAGTGCTGGAGACTAGTTGAAAGAGTAGGAAAATGTCTGGAAGCTGATGGGAGTTCTGCTCTGGAGGCAATAGTGTATCCCTTCACTGAGGGCAGGGATCCAATCCTTCTTGTGGTCAGAGAAGACTAACTAAAGGCCAAAGACATCAGACATGTCCCTGCAGGCAGATGGTAACACTTGAACTTAAAAAAATCTTTTTAGAGGGAGAAAGGGGCCCTGAATGCCAAAAACCTGGAGTGGGCCATCAAAGTAAGTTAGCCAACTTTAGGAGTAGAAGAACTCTGCTCCTGCATTCTGGGTGCCCTTTGTACAGAGTCATAAACTCTGCAGGGAGGAGACCTAGTGTGTCATCTTTCCATGCCCTTCCCAACCCCAATATCCAGCTCAGAGCACCTGGAGTTCATTTAAGTGTTTGTCAAATGACTGATGAGGGAATAAGTGAGTGAATGGGTGAATGAATGAATGAATGAATGAATGAAGTAGTTACTGCTTGACCCTCTGGCCTGTCCTCTGCTAGCTCTCTCAAGAAGAGACCAAGAACACTTCCTCTCGCACCCATGCTTCTCCCCGCGGGCGCTCACCTTATGCTGTTTCCACATGGCTCCCAGCGGCTTCACCTCGTGCTTGCCGTGCCGGCCCTCTTCCAAGCACAGGTAGCACACCGGGGTTCGGCAGCTCACGCAGTACATACTGTAGTTCTCCATTTCGTGCTCCGGGCACGTAGGGAACTTGCGGGCTGCGACGCCCCCTGCTGCTCCGGCCCCGGCACCCCCAGGACTCTTGCAGCCTCCTCCTCCACTGGGGGCGCCCTGGGCCGCACCTGGGGACACAGAGGTGGCCTCGGCGGGAGCCGGGGGCGGTGGCGGTTGCACCAGACGATGCTTAGCGAAGGGTCCCCGGGATGGATGGCACTTTAGCTGGCAGGCAGCGCAGTAGAGCACGTCGCACTGCTCGCAGAGCGTAGCGGCCGGCTCCGGCGGGGTGCGGTCGCACAACTGGCAGATGGCCACAGCAGGGGCTGCGGACGCCCCCTGCACCGCCCCGCGGCCAAGCTGGTACCGCTGCACGATGGCCTCGAGCAGCCGGTTGCGCTGGAAGCCGCGCAAGCCGCGGTGGTCAAGGGAGGCGCTGCGATGGCACTGCGGGCACGTGATAGAGCTGGAAGACGAGGACAGCGAAGAGCAGGCAGCACCCCGGGCCGCGGCGGCAGAGGAGCCGGGCGGCGCGGGCACCATGGGCAGCACGCGAACCCCGTTGGGGGACTTGAGGCTCGGGGTGTAGGAGCCATAACCGCTGTCTGTCTCACTGTACAAGCTCAGCTTGTCCGCGTGGTCCCCGCCACCTCCCGCACCGCCGCCCAGGCCGCCAGCTGTGCTCCCGCCACCGCCGCTGCAGGCCGGGCCAGCTGCCGCGTCATGGTCTGGAGGGGGCGCGGCGGCGGCGCCCGCGGGCAGTCCGGAGCCCCGGGGGTGCAGGAGCGGCTGGGGCAAGTGCTGCTCACCGTCCGGGGTCTGCACTGCGATGGTACGAGCGCAAGGCAGGCAAACGTTGTGGGAACAGGGCAAGATGATGGGCTCCCGAAACAGGGAGCCGCACACAGGGCACTTCAGCTCCTCCTCCATGGCTGCGCGGGCAGGGCGAGCTGCTCAGGTCCCGGGGTGGAATGACCCAAGCTCCGGAGACGGGCGGAGGGGAACCAGCGTGGTTAGCACCGGTGAAACTGGAGGCGGGGACAGCACACAGGCATGCCTGCTAGACAGCCGAGGGGCACGCCCCTCTTCTCTGTCTATCTCCCTAAGACGATCGGGGGCAAGAGAAGGGAGGGGGTCCTCACCTCCTGCCCGCGAGGCTCCTGCACCAGCGGCTTCAACCTGCGGCCAGAGTCCCGAGCCGGTCGGTTGCCCTCGTGGTGGCCTGAGAGGCGCTCTAGGTGATGAATCAGCACTAGCGCCGCCCGCGGCTGCAGCGCGCGCGTCCTCCGCACATCAGGACCAGCGGCCAGGCTGCCGTTCGCTGGCTCTCCGGCTCCAACCTCTCCGCTCCAGTGAGCTGTTGCCCAGGAGCCCCCTTTTGCCTCTGCCCCGCCCCCAAATCAAGGCGATCTGTAGGTGAGAAGGAGGGTGAGCAGGCCGCGCGGCGGCGGGGCTGGGTTCAGCACCAGGGGGCGGCGGACAGCGCCCGGGAGCGGAAGGCGGAGGACGGGCTCCGGGCCTACGGACCCAGGGCGGCACCTGCCGGGTCGCTGCGCCGGCGACTGTCTCGGTTGGGCGCGGCCGGCCCGGAGACCTTCGCTCGCCTCCCTCCCTGGCGGCTGCTGGTGCGGGCAGAACGCGCCCCGCGCTTTCTCCCCGCGGCCAGGATTGACCCTCTTTAGTTCGCTGCTGCTGCTCCTGCGGCGCCTCTGACCTTGGCCGCGCGACGCGGCAGCCGGCGGGCGGAGGGCCACCGCCGGGCTGGCTCTGGGATCCCCTCCCGGTCTTCCTCCAGCCGCCGCGCGCCGAGGAGTTGTAATTTCCAGAGCGGGGCGGGGGAGGGGGCGGGAGGAGGCGTCAGCTCAGCAAATAAGGGCTCGCCTCTTGCTGCTAGGGAAATCAAGGGGCAATTTTAAGGGTTTCGCAGAGAGGATCATTATTAATAATCTATTATTGGGCTGGAGTGTATCTTGAATTAGTACAACGCCCTGCCCCGCCCACCTCTGCCATCATCTCCCCTGCCCAGTCCCGCGCCCCCACCTACCACCAGGAAGGGGTAAAAACAGGGATCTGAAAAGCCAATTGTTTACAAATGGAGAGGGAGCATGGTTTGGTAGTCGCTTCCTAAATCTGCGATAGAGCAAAAAATGCAAGTCCCAAAATGTCGGACACCCGAAGTCAAAGGGTGAGGTTTTATTATGGATTTAACCACAAGCCATTTTGTCTCTGCGTTTCACAGGAGTGCCCATCCGTGGCCGATGTCTGTCGTCGATTCAGGCTGAGTGAGGACACCGGATGGGATTTATAAAACGCGACTTCCTGGCGGAACACGACGACGCGCCACTTTAGGCCCCTCGGCCCTTGGACCCGTGCGCCCGGGACCAGCCCTAGCCTGCTGCCACCGCGGGAAGTGGGCGAGCGGAGAGGGTAGTTTTCTGAATGGGAAAACCTCCACGGTCTGCAACGCCAGCCGGCAGCTGCGGGAACAGCCTCCCGCCCGCGCGGCCCTGGCTGCCTTGTCTGCGCCGCTGTTCTGCCTCCGCCGCCGCGAGAAGGACAGGTGGGCGAGGCGAGGGCACCGCAGGAGGGACAGGCGGAGAAGGGCTTGTAGTGCAGCCGGCTCAGCCTACGGAGTCTCGGGCTGGCGTGAAACACACACACACTAGGAAACTGTTTAAAAACGAAATGAATACTGAAGTCACGCCTCCCCCCACCCCACCCGGTTCTCCATTACTCCAGACAAAGGCAGGGCCCCGCGCCGTGGAGCACGGCGAGCGGGCTCAGCGTCTGCCAGCCGCGGTGGGAGGGGGCCGCGCCGGCTGATGGGTCACTGCAGGAGAAAGCCGCAGCCCGGGCTAAGAGTCGGTGCTCAGGGGACAGGGACCGCCCGCAGGTAGACCACTGGGAGAGGGGAGTGGCGATGCACTCCTGGGAGTCAGGGCTCCGGGGTGGGAATCTAGCCCCTCCCCAGGAGCTAGCTTCCTTATGCTTTCCTAGTCCCCATCGTGCATCTGTCAAAGGAGTATTATAATACCCATGTGTGAGAAGTAAATGAAGTAAACACAGATTGCATATCCTACTTCCTGCCTCATAGTCCTCTCCCTTCAGCTCAGCTTTGCCCACTGATGAGCAGTTTGTCTGAAAATTGAAAAGCAGACCAACCTAGTGCCAGACAGCGCACCAAGAGTTCAGAGACTTGACTCCCCTTCAGCTGCAGGGAGCTTAGAGCAATTATTTAACCAGGTCAATATCACCAGGTAGGAGATGGTGACAACCTTGTCCTAATTGGCCTTCTTTAGATAAAGGCAGGACCAGGAGCTGGACCCTGCCTGCAGTGCTTTGATAAGCCTTCAGGAAAGTGGCTGGCTGTTTTGCTACAATGTCCTATCAGAGTGCTGGGCACAGGTAGGCAGAGGTAGGTCTATAACCGCATGCACTTAAAGATGCATTTCTTGTAATCCGAACAGCATGATCACTCACCTCAGCCCAGCCCAGCCTCCTGATGACTACAAGGAAGTAACAACCCCTTATGGTTGTTTCTGCCGCAGACTAGTCATGTGCCTGAGACCCACCCTGCCTTGTCATTTTCAGACCAAGGTAAACTGCTGGGAGCTGGGGGTGGGAAGACCTCCGATAGGAGTAAATCTTTCCTTGTGCAGGACAGCCTACAATTCCAGCAACCCTGAGGCTCAGGCTGAGTGCGACTTTGTTTCCCGTGCGGAGGCAGCACATCTAATACAGCACAGTTCTCCACCTTTGTGTTTCTCACATGCACTCCATCCCACCACCCAAATTCCACGGCCCAAATCAGCTTAGCCTGGTACTGCACTGCTGCTAAGATCTTGCTTACTTGGGGGATTGGCCTCCTACAGCCTCTTTGTATGAGCTGACGTTACACAGCCAGCTCCAATACTGAGCTGTACACAACCATAATTCATAACAATTGTCAACATCATCTAGGAAAAGGCCTCCATCTGTCCCAACTGTGCCATGAACTGTATGTATACAGAAACGTCATTTTATTTCTCTGAGCCTTTGTTTTTTTCTGTTATAAAATTCAAGGATAAAATTTGTTGAACTTTAAATTTCGTTTTGGTTCTAAAAGTCTCTGTATGTTCGTTTTAAAGAATGATACGAGTATATCTCACTTAATAAAAAATGACTCTTATGAAAAAAATTCTATGTCAATCTTGAATGACATCCATTTGTTTCAAGTCACTAGTACATTATTAAAGGCTGGGCCATGCAGAGAGCAAGGATAGTAATACTATTTGCATTGCAGCCGTTGACAGCGTGTCCTAGTCTGCGCAGGCTGCTATAACAAAATATGATCGACTGGGTGGCTTAAGAACAGAACTTACTTCTCAGTTCTAGAGGCTGGGAAACCTGACATCAAGGCACGACAGACCCTGTGGTTGGTGAGAATGCCCATCCTGGTTTGTGGTTGGCCGCCTTCTCACCGAATCCTTACATGGATGGAGAAGGGGAGAGCAAGCTTTCATGTCGCTGCTGGTAAGGGCACTGATCCCACTCTGGAGGGCTCCATCCTCATTACCTAAATATGTCCCAGAGGCCCCCTCCTAACACTGTCACATTGGGGGTTAGAGTTTCAATACATGAATTTTGGGGGACACAACATTCAGTCCATAGCACACTGTGAAATTACATTCTTATATGTAACTTCATTTAATCCTCATTCAGTCTTAACCACATTTAACCCTGAAAAGTGCACATTACCACATTTCCTCAATTTTATAATGTACATATTATATTTTTATTTTTTAATGTTACTGAAGTCAGGAAGTAACATTAAAAAGTGAAAATATGTACATTATACATTCTACGATTGACACATAATTCTCCCCCCACCCCTACCTTGAAATTTTCTTATTAAATAGATGGTGCATCTTACAATCACTGAGAATCATGGAAATATTTTATTATTTCCATTTTACAGACAAGGAAACTGAGATGAGAAAACTCAAAGTCTTGCAACTTGCAATGGTGAACCTAGAACTGGTCTGAATTTAAGTTTAAAGCATTTTTCTTTAAGTCACAGTTGCCAGTGGGGACCTCCCTCCCAGCTTTGAGTGGATAGCAGGAGAGCTCAGAAGCGCAGATGTGCCATGCTCTCTGTCCTCACCCAGGGCCATCGAACGAGTGATTCTGTCTGCCTTCCCAGGCTACCCTCACCCTCCAGGCTAAGCACATTTCTAGAATGTTCCTGGAAGCTCCCTGTATTAGCC